GCTTCACTTTGTTTTTCTGCCATTCTGCAGGTTGCGCATTCCAAGTTGCAGAGCATAGGCATTGAACATGCGAGTGCTTGTTCAGCTGCGGCACGTTCTAAATCTTTCGTTTCTGAATCTTTTCTTGTACCCTGCCAGCTGATCGTAGGTTTAATACTCGACGGCAAGCTGGATACCTCCTAGCGACCAGAGTAATTGATCGCATCTCTGGACAAATGGCTCAGTGAGTTCTTGTTGAAAGACTTGTGAAGAATTTTGAAGAGAGGTAGTGAACTCATCCTGCGGTTTCGTGATCGCATCGACCCAGGGAGTTGTAAGCGACTTCTGCATTGACCCGTTTCGAAAGGTTTCGTGATCGCGTGCGTTTTCTACTATTGTTCAAGAGTTTGGTCATAATATGTACAGGAACAAAAATCCTCCATCTCATCCTTTGCTTAAAACAGAATGACGATTTTACGCTAATTTTACTAGCAATATGTCCCTCCTTGTTAGTTATTGTTTTCGGAATTCGTCTCACTCCACCTATAAGATTGGCTTCGTGGTAATGGATATGACGTATTCATTGTGTAGCGTCAGAGAATATATCCCATTCGAGCCATCCGCTTAGCGCAACGAAGAAATTTAGAACGTTATTTGCCAGGAAACTTCTTCATGGTAACAGCTGGCATGTAGACATTCAGCAGTTGTGTTATTTTGATTCTGGAAAGATATTAAGCACGGAAGGTTGAAATACGTCTGCCATCTACTAGTCAGCATTAACTCCCTGTCGAACTGTTTCGCGGTTCAGAACGGGACTTCATTGTCAGTGCAGTTGTTTTGCTTGAAGAAACGGCGCCGATATGCGCCTTCTTGAAACTTCAAGCATTGGGGCTTCCTTACAATGAGCAAAGGTTAGGTTGAAAGTCAAAAATGAGGAAAGGAGGCGAGTATCTGCCAGCGGCCAAAAGCAGATAATTTTTTAAACCCCTTGACAGCATCGTTCACATGTTCGTCTTTCTTGACTGGTTGGACCTCTGTCCATTTTGGTATCCAGATGAACATATCTTGATGCGCTATTCATTTTATATTGTTTACTTTCACTCATGCCAGACTGTTTTTACAGGGATTTTTTTGTGAAGTCGCCTGGTCGAAAAAGTAACATCTTGTGCATGGTGTAATCAGTCACTGTCGAGAGCTGCCTGTCAGTCACTGCTTGTTATCACGTTATCATGTTCGTTTTCTTGCTTCCTTGTCTTGATGTCACGGTAGATCGTTCTATTTGCTCTTCTATTCTTTGTATCTCATATTTCCTAACAATGCCTGGGGTTGATCTTTATTTGAATCGTTTACAAATTTAATAATTCATCTTTCGCTCATGTAGTATATTACTATGCTTATGTATACAATGCAGTGTTATGCTACATTTTTTGCTTCTTTTGTATTTTGTCCTAGTGTTTGCCGTAACTGTTCACATGGAAGCATTATTTCTTTTTTATGGCATTCTATTCATGGCAGAGCTTTTTCTCACGGCGTGGAATGAGTGCATTTGTATCCTATCTGATTGTGGTGAGGAATGACAGTCTTCTTGCGGCTGACTTAATTACATAGTGAAAGACCTAACTAGTGCTACGAATTTTGTTTGAATAATGCATGACTTATAAGATGGGGTATTATTCCACCCCTCCCGCTCATTCAGTGTCAAACTGGCAACCTCACTGTTTGAATTGCAGTTTTATTTTTTCGCTGAATGTCAGTTATTTATTGTTTTTATAATTTCCGTTTATGTATTATTTTTTATGCATTAATTCATTATTTTTGGGCGGTTTTGTTTATGCGGTAAATTTTTAATTTTACATAGCGAGAGTTTGATGATTGACAAAGTTCTGGTGTTGAACAGCAGCATTTTTTTAAGAAATATTGTTGCAACGGTGATACTTAATTACTGAGTTATACGTAGGTTATAAGCCGACCATTTCATGTGCCGCTGTGGCAGATTTGTGTGCTTAGCTTGGTTTTACCATTATTTATTTGTTAACTTCTTGATTTGTTTTTTCTATGTATGACTTCTGGTTATCGCATGCCTTGAGTCGTTACTTTCGTAAAATGACATGGAATAGAGAGTTTTAAGTGCCTTTTAAGCCAGATTGCTCACTCATCTTCGATTTGACGATGGCATTGGGATATTGGAGACGATAGCAAAAGAAGTTTAAGCCATGCCTTGCGAGTTATAGTTAACGATGCTGTTCCTCAAATGAACAAATGAGTTTGCCTAACCTGTTACAGTTACCATAAGTGATTCCAAAATATGAGTTCACGAGTATGTCTGCTTGGTACAGCTAATCGTGTCAAACAGATCACTCCGTCAGAGCTCGGCAGATGGCGTCCAGCTCAAACAGAAGTAGTCCTGACATTCTTGAAATCTGAGGTACCAATTACAATCGGAAACAGAATGTGAAAGCGCATTATTGGTATTGCAAACTGCTGTATGTTGTTACGAGACCTGGGCATTAACGAAGAAGGATGTGGAACTGTTAAGAGTGCAGCAGTGGCCTATGCTAAGAAGGATGTTAAGGATTTACTTTAGGTTCAAGTGAAGCGAAATGAAAAAATGAAATGACCCATGGCAATACAAGACGTGGTATTAGTTTGAAGAGAAAGAGAGCGACAGTAGGCAGGTCACATCGCTCGACTGACCGCTACACACGAGAATGGACTGACAATAATAGAGATACTCGCATTTCTTTGGCGATGAGTCAGGGTGCTGCAAACGATCATGATCTTTAATTCTTTAACCTATGTGCGGTTCAGAAGCACTTTACGAGGCAAATAAGTAGGCTTATAGGTTTTTTGATATGGTTAAATCGATTATGTGATTTTTGGGCTAACTCGTTGCAGGCATTCAATTGCCGTCATTGAGCATCGATGGTGACTAGAAGCAAAAGGCGGTATATTTATGCGGCGTTATTTGGGTGTTAGCAGTTGCGAGGATCGTTAAATTTGTTGTTTTGGTCTTTATTAGTTTGGATTGAATAGTATTTTATATATTGCTATTTTGTATTTTCATTCATGGTTGGCCATGCTGTTGAAAGCTACTACTTTTATGAGACCTGTTGGCTCAAATTAAGATTATTTGTGACTGTTCATGTGACTACGACCGTTTAATTATAATATATGAATTCTGCTTAATCCTTATTTTTCATGCCGTAATCATTGCTTCTTTCGAGTTCGTAGTCTTCAAGGACATTTTCGTTTATTTTCTTGATTTTATCACGTGTTTTTTTAATTTTTTGTCATCTTCGCATTTGCTATCTTTCGACATATTCGTCTTCAGCTGTATGATATTGATCATTGCTATGATGTTTATTATCATGTTAGCCATTATCATCTCTATATTCTTCGATGACACTCAGTCATCATGATCTTTCGAACTACTTGAATAGTTAGAGTAGTTCTGATTGATGCATTTGGGTGCACTGTGAAACTGCATCTTCGGATTTGAGCGAGTGTTCAGTTTGCCGTTTGTAATCTTATATATTTTACGTTATTTTCACAGACCGTTCGTTTCACCATACGCTATGCTGAAATCGCTTGCAAAGGTGTGCTCCTCAAAGAGCTTGTCATGTGTTTGCTTGTGCCAACGATATATTTCGTCGCAGGAAGTGTTCGACCGCGAAGCGAAATACGGGGCTCACAATTATCACGCACTTCCGGTTGCGTTGACCAAAGGAAAGGGTAGGTGTGTCTATGCAGCACAAACATAGCAATGCTGTCTGCGTCTTATATATTTCGATTGTAAGCTGCACTGTGCTGAGACTGGTTTTAAAGCAGTTGAACCAATCAATCATTTTTTGTATCCTGAGTCATTCGAACAGTAAGTACTCTTTCGTTCGATTAATGTGTGATTTTATTATTTATTATAAACCGACAAAGAGTACAGCGTTCGCTGCTTGAGCAAAATTTAATGTTTTAATGTTCCGAATAGAATTTTTTAATTTTGAAAGTCAGATAATTTAACAGTACTGACACTGTGTCAGTGGTCTGTATTACTGTGTAGTCAGTGACGGCGTAGTCTCATCGTCTCCTGCCTTCTAGTAGCTCTAATGATCGTTTAAGCAGGCTTAATGGTATTTTAGTGCCTGCAATGCGTCGGCATTAACCGCTGTCACCTAATGTGTCGAAAAAAATAATTTTCGTGTCGTCCTCGATTAGTGGGCATGTGTAATCAATTGGCAAACCTTTAATGCTATTTTTATTACTATGACGTTACATCTGTTTTTGTCACATATTCATATACGCTTGCCGATCGAAGTCTGGCCATTGGTATTCGAACGTAATCGACCCTAAATTTACAAGCTACTCATAAATTGCAGTCTACGCAATGCTGCATGGAAATGTGTCTGGTGCGAATGACAAGAAAAGAGGGAAAGACTTATGAGTTATAAAGAACATAAGCAAGAATCCTTTATATCACTGTCCGAGTGGAGAGGAAGAAGATGTGCCAGAGGAGTCGATCATCGCTTGACCAGAAAGCTATTAGACTGGGTTCCTGATACCAGTAAACGGCCGCGAGGCAAACCTGCCGATCAATGACAGCATCAACTTAAGTAGTTCGCTGGATCAAGATGGATAAGATTCGGTTTCATGTAGTTTCTTATTTCGCCTTATGTAAATTTCGGCGACATTTCGTTTCCTTTAATGTTTGTTTATTTTAGGCGTGTACGTATGGGATGTCGAAGGCAAAAAATATTATGATTTTTTGTCAGCGTACTCGGCGGTCAACCAGGGGCATTGCCACCCAAAGATTATTGAAGCACTCAAAACGCAGTGTGACAGCATGACGCTTTGTTCACGGGCGTTTTATGCGGAACCACTCGGTGAATACGAACAGTTCATCACGAAATTGTTCGGTTACGACAAGGTGTTACCGATGAATACTGGTGAGTAATTGTTACCATGTGATATGTATTTAAGAATAGTATGTGTACTATATGATATTAGAGACCTAGGTTGTTCCATCATAGAACAACAGAACCAGAAAAGACTCAGAATCATATGTTTCTGGCTTCAAGCTCCAGTCGAGTCCCTCGCCTTAACTGCTTCGTAGGTTAATAAATGAGTTTTTGAGTAGGAAACTGATGAGGAAACGTACCTTTCTCAAAGGAAAACAGGGAACATCACACTGTGCTTGGCACATTGCTGCTGTCGATTTTTCGTTTAAAATGACGCACTCCTAGCTAATGAAATGGAGATGAAGATCAGTGCCTCCACCATTAATTTTCTTTTCAAGTATGTAATAAGTTATATTGTCCATCATATCAGTACGACAGTTGCTTGAGGCACGATGCAGTGTTTCCCATCTTCGGTTTTTGGCACGTAAATCTTCATTATGGTTCTCGAGCAATAATATTGATGTAGAATTAAAATAAGAACTTAGATTCCTTAGTTCATTCTGACAAGGTCCAATGCTGTTTTTCAGGAACGGATGGGATTTTGGTCAAGGGAGCATATGGTTCATTACAGTACGGGCAAAAGCGCACAAAGTACATTAAAAGGAATAGTTCAAAACATTGTTCGATTAGAGCATTCATTGGAATGTCAACATGGTTCCTACGGGGAAGAAACGAATATCCTTGACTGTAGTAGAAAGGACCAAATTTTGAATTCTTATTCCAGGCAGTATATGTAATTTTGATTAGTTGAAGAGGGAAGGATATGCAACGACTTCACAACAGTTCAGTTACCATCTATTCTTCTTGGAAGTCCTTGATATGAGTCTTTTTTTTACACTGATTCATCTCTCTTCTAGTGTTTGGTGCTTGGCCATTCTCTCTTCTGAAGATATATATTATAAAGTATGGTATCAGACGATTCTTTGTGGTAAATTCTATGCGCTCGTTAAGATTAAAGGCAGTCTTGATGTCTTGTAACTTATTGGAATTAATCAGCCAATCGATCAAATTTAGTACTATGTACAACAGTGTGCGCTATCAGCACGAAATGGTCAGATAACGTTCGGAACCGTACAAGGCGGAAATGAGATTACATTTTCGAAAATTCAGTTAAAAAATATTGAAGAGATACTTGATAAATTTTTCCTTCACCAATATTGCCCTGTGGATGACCGTTTACAATCTGCTGCATCAAAAATCCGGTGAGACACTGCCAGTTTGATGGGAATATTTTTACTTGTTTGTTTTTGTGCATTTCTCCCTGTGAATTTGTGTGTTTCTGTTGTGTATGTGTGTTTAATGAGAGTGTTCAGACAGACTACGAAAGGATGCCATTTTTTGATTTTAAAGAAACATTAAGTAGCACAGGAAGGCATATAAAACTTCTTTTTCTTGCATGTTCCCATTAACAGGGGTCGGTTAATCGAATCGATCTCCTCCACATTTTTCTGTCGTTCGCTAGATCTTCAAAGATTCCTCGCAGGTTCATATCGTTCTTGACGACGTCGCGCCATCTTTTCATCGGTCTTCCCCTTCTTTCCTGCCTCGGCAGTATGAATGCTTGGATCACATTTCCGACGTATTCGGTGGGTCTTCTTTTCACATGACCGAACTAACGATGGAGCTATATAAAACGCATATAAAACTTCGAAGTAGAATTTATCGTAATTTTCGGTCTGAATAATACCAATATGTAAGAATGACTCAGTTTTCACAGCGTAGGTAGCACCTGCCAGTTTCACATAAGTTCAAGTTTGGCCGTAAATAAGAAGTGTGGCCAAAACAAAACGTCTGTAATAATAAGCAATCAAAAGGAGGCAGAAGTATAGTAAGAATGAAATATGGAATATCCTGCAGTTGTTTCAGTTCAAATGTTTTAAGGTGTGGCCATCTGATGCTCTCGTGATCTGGTCTACTGGACAGCTCCATGTATGCAGATATTGTGACATGTTGAGACCTAGTAGCGAGTAGCTGTGGAAAGCACTCTCAGTGGATCAGTGGATCGCATCTGTTTTTGGCTTAAAATTATTCATTTGTTTTATTTTATTTTCTGTTGTATTACATGACGTTTTAGGCGTCGAAGCTTGCGAATCTGCTGTCAAACTCGCCCGACGTTGGGGGTATGACGTCAAGAAAATCCCTCGCTATCGAGCTGAGGTGATTTTTGCTGCCGACAACTTCTGGGGACGTACCATTGCGGCTGTTTCCGCCAGTACAGATCCCGAAAGCTATGGCGGTTTCGGGCCGTTTGTACCTGGATTCAAAGTCATTCCATATGACGACCTTGAGTCTCTTAAGGTAAAACCTCCGGCGTCTTGACTAGGTGCGGTAGTTTTACGTACTGGTACTGCTACTATTAGATACTGCGTCAGTTCCTGCACTTACTGTACATCACTGTGACTAGTTCATCATGTTCAGTAAAAAGTAGTTCATCGTGTTCAGTAAAAATTCTGTCATATCTTCATGATATTTGCATTTAGAAAGAAGCAAGCAATCCGAACGTGGCAGCATTCATGGTCGAACCGATTCAGGGCGAAGCAGGCGTAAAAGTACCATCGCCTGGCTACCTGCGAGGGGTGCGAGAGATCTGCACTCAGAACAACATTCTGTTAATCGTCGACGAGGTGCAGACCGGCTTGGCGAGAACCGGAAAGTACGCTTTGTGTTTTGTCTGTAAAGTTGATTCTAGCAAGTTTTTTATTGGACTGCAGTAATCGAGGTACTAACTACTACTCTCAGATGCTTAGTTCATTTGCTGTTCTGCGAGGGTGATATTATAGTCTGTAGTACTGTAATTTACTCATACATTTTCGAATCCTGTTTTTCTCTCTAATCGCGGTGCTGTACCTTTGGCGGATTAGTCCTGTGATATAGATTTTGTGCAATGTATATGGCATAATTTCTTATGCACGACAACATCATACGTTCTATATAATCGAAACAAACACCCCTTCCATCTACTTCTTGATTGTCTGTCTTTTAACTTGGCGAGTCTCGTGTGCTGTTCACGTTGCTAGTTCGATCTGGGCTCACCAAAGATTTTTTTCAAGCTTGGTGCTACTGTCTTGGCGATTCAATCCTAATTTATTCATATCGTTTGATAGTCCCTTGATCGGTTGCTATGTAAGAATTACATGAAATAGTGAGTGCTTAAAATAAACAGATAACAATATGAGATAAAAAGAAACCTGGAAAAGATCGAAACGAAGTTCGTGTTTCTGCGTATATTGGTAATGCAAAAAAAGAGCTCTTATAAAGAAAAGAAATAAAAGCATGGGAAATGAACAGATGAAAAGTGCTAGGATATCAAATGTAAACGAGCGGCAGCAAGTAAAAAGATTTGGTTGTAGAAAACAGATTCCAACTAGACGAAAGGTCGATTCGTCGTTCACATATACCGCACCAGATGTTTATAAGTTGGTAATTCGAGTTTAAGTAACCGGCATTGGGGAGTGGTGCTTTTTCGGTGCAACATCTTCACATCCTTGACAGGAGTATGTTGCACGTTATTAACGCAATGTTTGACAACAGTTGATTGTTTTTAATGTCCATATTTGAAAGCTGTCATGTCCATTAGTCGTTTTTTATGTCATACCCTTTTAAATCTTTACAGCCTATTTGGAAACTTGCCAATCTTTAAGTTGATTTTTTGTTGCGCAGCATTCATCATAGATGCTGTGTAGGAGTGACGAAAGAAGAATTTAGACCAATATTCTGAGCAAGAGAAGCAGCAACTGCAGTGTAACAGCAACAGCATAGATTTGAACTACGCTCATCGTAGTATTGCAACACGAAATGTTCTATTTATGCCCTTTGATCTTTATTCAGTCCACCCGACCAAGTTTCCTGGAGCATTTACGATCTTCAGTGTAGTTACCATCAGCTGTTCCGCAAAAGAAATGCTTTTTGCCCATGTGAAAATTTCTGCCGTTTCTTTGGTCTTCGTTGCAGTTTGTCGAAGTACCGCCGTTTTCCTCGTGTAACGAGAAGAGAGTAATTTTTTCACCTGTATTCATATTTGTTCTTTAGCGAGTATTCAGATGACCTAATATTTATTTGACTTTAGGCGACTCTGCGTTGACCACGACGCAGTAAGACCAGACATACTTGTACTTGGCAAAGCACTCTCAGGCGGAACGTTTCCGGTAAGAAACATCCATTTCACTGCGTTCTTCATGTACAGCTGTACTTCTTAATTGCTATGTGTTTGATGAACAGTGCATCATGTCTGTTGGAGGCAAGGACCAAATCAGTGCGTTTCGATAGAAGGGGCATTTCTGAAGCTTCTGCGCATTAAATTGAGTTGGTCCATATAAGACCACTTTTATAGTCATAATTTATGATGAACATGTCTGACTCGGTACGACAGAGTACATGCAAGGTGCAGTAGAAACATTTTTCTTCAAGTCATTAGACAAGATCACTGAATATTAAAAAGGTCGTTTTGCATATATTCATAGTGAAATTGGAGTGGTGACATCTGGTATTTCGCCAAGCTAGATTCTTGGATTCCATGCACAGAAGTATCATAGATCCGCATACTACGTAAGCACAATATAACTATATTGTTTAGTTATAAAAATCACGAGATACATTTACTGCAAGCGAAAAGCATCTGTTTCGTCCAGTGCACGTGTGAATTATTGTAGTGGATATGTATTGTAGTATACTAGTTATACGTGCATAACAGTTAAAACATGAAACGGTATTGATATACTTGGTGGATGTGTTCTTCCTGATTGCGCCATATCGACTGTCGCTCATTTCCTGAAGCAAATGGTGAGGCACCGATGTTCATTTCCACTCAACAGTACCATATTTTAAAGCAGAGTTGACAACAGTTATCTGACGAGCAACGAGCGCAGTATCCTGTTTTCTCCTGACTGTGGTACTCTTGCATTAATTTAAGGAAGAAAGGCAGATGACCTGACCGGCAGTTCTTGGTCCTGAATTCGATGCTCTAAGCACTGAGGAAGCTCACTGGATGAAAAATAGGTTGCATTCCCGGTGTACAGTATCAACCTTACATTTCAATCTTGAATCCATGAGCATTACCTCTTGAGAAAGATATATCGGCGAAATACATGTTTGTTAAAGAGAAACAAGCAAAATATAAGATTCTATGCATTTGCTTTGTTGCACTCGGTCTTCAGATAGATCGATGAGTACCACACTTGAACAGTTTGACCATGTTTTACGAAACCATGACTGGAGTAAAGAGTTTAATGTCATTAACGTGTCTGCCGTTAGTACAAAAGGATTAGTTGTCACTTTACAGGTTTCTGCCGTGTTGTGCGATGACGATATAATGCTAAACATAAAGCCAGGTCAGCATGGATCGACCTACGGAGGGAACCCGGTCGCTTGCAAAGTAGCCATTGCAGCTTTAAAGGTAGGCGCTAGTAGTATATGGCAATATCGCATCGTAAATAGATGAACAGCACATACGCCTAGGTTATCGAAGAAGAGAAACTGGCGGAAAACGCAGAGAAAATGGGAGTGCTGTTCAGAAAACTGTTGAACAACCTGCCAAAAAGAGTGGTGAGCGACGTACGTGGCAAGGGGCTGCTGAATGCGATCGTCGTAAAACCAGGTAATGCAAACGAAATTGCCGGCATCGATCTGAAAACGAAATTTACAACGTATAAGAGGTTTAGAATATGATGCATGGAAAATTTGCTTGCGGCTGAGGGACAACGGCCTCCTGGCGAAGAGCACCCATAACGACAAAATACGACTTGCTCCTCCGCTAATAATCACCGAGGAACAAATCACAGAGTGCGCCAATATCATTAACAAGGTGATCTGTTCTGTCTGAGGTAAGAGTATTTCTGATGGAAGAAGATCAATGATGCTGACGGTGCATTTCTCACCGAGGACACGAAAAATAATGTTACCGTTACATTTATGCATGGTTCGTAGTTATTATATCATTTGTTTTTGCTGTTTTCTACCGTAGTAATAAATGTCGGCTACGCATTCGATTTTCTAGTTAATAGAAGACTAGAATAAACAAAAGTAAACAAAAAACAAAACAGCTATAAAACTGGAATTAGTAATAATACACAAAAAGGGAAATTCATTCCTACGCTTTTCGATAATGGATAATATCCACCTGAGTCTGAGATAAGTTCATCATAGCAGTGCTAATGAAAGAATAAAACTTCATATAACAACGCTTTGGCTCGCGCGCAGAGCTGCTGCCATTGCTGCCACCGCTTCAGGTACGTACTCTGAACCACTGCTGTCGTCGTCTTCGTCCGAAGACCAATGTACTCACTCTGCTTCGCTACGAATAGGTCTTCGCCACAGATCGGCAGCCTGGTGGTCAAAGCCAAATCTACAAGTCAAAGATACTGACTACAGTTTTACGGACGAGGCAGTGTTTTATGACATGTGTAAAATACCACAACATCAAGGCAAACAGTGTAATGTGAGCATGACGCATATTTTGTAGCACCTCCTCTGCGTTGGTGATCTTTTCAGCATTCAAAGTTATGATCAGCTTCCACAACGTTATTACTTTCTATCTTCGGGTTGCTACCGCACTGCTAATATCAATAAACAGCTGACACTACTGCTGACTATCCCAACAGAAATAGTACGATTCTTTTACTGGCTCTTGGACAACTATTTTTGCTCATCTGAAAGCGTGTCATGTTTTGGAGTCGTACTACATGGAACCGCCTGTGCTGAAGAAAACATGGTTGCACTTCTAAAAACACTTAACTTCAAGCCTCAGGTTCATTAACATTGTCGGACGTAAGCAGCACAGTAACGCAATAAGTGTCGCTCAGAGATCTGAAAATTCTACGTATACTGCGTTAATATACTTCGCCTTTCATAAAGTGGACCTACACAAATTCGATCCGCTCTCAAAACTATCGGAAGAACAGGTCAGCTGTCCTATTTGCATTACGTGATCAGGTTGTAAGACCAATTGCAAAATTCGACCGATCCCTTCAATCCTCTACACCAGGTTCTCTCAAAATACATGACGGTTACATTTCACAAGGTTCCAATACGTCGGCATCTACGCAAAACCTATAGTTTACGTCATCACTGTCATCTGTGATGACAGACGGATCAAAATCTGCAGAGCGACGAAAGGGAAAAATGGAATCCGGTCGAATCGATCCTTTCATGAATCAACTCATACATTTCGACATTCATCAGCATTAACATTCGATTTCGCCAATCTGTCTCTTCATTTTTTAATCCATGTCTCATAATTATACATATCGCATAATGTGTGTTTCTGCATTATACGTACACTGTTATACCAACAGGTCAGTAAGTGCCGATATTTTAGTCGGTTTGCTAGTTTTACGTGATATTTTGGCTGATTTACGCAGTAAACGCTACTGAATGATTTGAATGAACCTTTGTCCCGCTCCAAGGATTTGTAAACACTCTGAGCAAGACGACGCGTGACAAGCGAAGCGACACAAAATCGAATCTCCGTTACGTTGATGCATTGCCATCTTTCACCATACATTATCTGTCAATTTCCGTAGGTGTCTGATGGATAAATGAAAAAGCAGTGAAACAGATGAAACTTACAAACTCCAGGATACTGCTTATCGGTGGGGAGATCAACCGGCGAATTGGAATGGCCAGTGGCGTTGTGTGTACATTGGCCTGAACCGCTGTGATTAAAAGCATAGCTGAGTCTAAAGACTAAGCTGTTTGTGTTGAAGCCGATATCCATAACCATGCTAACATATTATCATATGATTCGTGCATCATGACTGAAAAACTTCAATCTCTCGGTACAAGCGGCTGAAATGGGCTTTCTGAGACAAATTGCTGACAAATCAATGTCAACATGATCTGTAGTTCAGATATCCAATAAAGCCTTGGTGTGCAGGCGCTGCTCTATACACGGTCACTTTCTGTCAAAGCACAAACAGATCGGGAACGTTGGAAGCACGGCCAGACGAGTCTGCTTCCGCGACACCAAATGATAAGCGATAATTAAAACTGACTGAATGGTTTTGTAAGCCGATAACTGAAAAAGATGGATGTTTGTCATCTAAACTTGAACGCAGGTGCCGCTGTACGTTACATGGAACATTGATACATTTGCATATCAATTGTAGAATGCGTAACCGCGATAATTTCTGACGTCATTTTCAGTGCGTGCATCCGTACACACTGTGACTTGAGTCAGTACGCAAAACCGGTATGGTGGAGGGGGTACCAAAAATAACATTTAAACAATGGAACCATTAGCTTAGAACGTTGGGCAGCTAGTGAAGTACTAAGTTCTTCGTCAAGCAACTTGAATCTTACAAATACATCCCATTAAGATATACCCGTTTGATAACTTATATTCATGAAATGACTAATGTCAGAAAAAAAATCGAGATCAATTCTTAATCTCATCATTGGAAACAAAAAGGCATATGATCCATTGATTTTCAGTCTTCTTTGCACTTTCAAGATGGTGCTGATCTCCACGAATTGATGGTCTGGACAAA